AACCTCAGATAACTTGCTATGGATACTGCATCGGACACAACACTCAGGACAAGAGCAGTTCAGTGTTTCCTTCCTCCAGCCCAGACAAGATTAACCAACGGAATATGTCGTCTCTACCTGTCAAGTATAGGGCGAAAGAAATGAAGCGGTGGTATTTGCTGAGAATTCGCAGGGGCTCCTCTCTCTGAACCAGGGTGAAGAAATAATCTGTGACAGTCTCCCCATAGAAGAAGTAGTTTACGCAGAGCAGGAAGTACCTGTGAGGGATGCAGATGCTCATTAGCAGGAACCCTAACAGGTTTCTGGAGAAAGACAGAAAGCGAGTGATCCCTGAGGTCTTGGCATTGCTCTGGTTCACTGCAATCAGGCTATCTTCAGGTGACAGCCAGAACTTCATTTCCCCAGCTTAGAAATGTCACCTTCATTTAAACCGGTGGCTGCAGCGCTCAGATCCACCTGGGACAGATGACACATCCAGGTTGGCTTGTGGCCTTGTGATGCACAGGGACTTTCTGCCTTTAGGTGGCAGTCCTCAACAGGCCTCTGCGAGCTCCTGCAGCCCAAAAGCACCCGCTCTACGCTTTCTGAAAGCGCTGCTCCTGCCCTCACGTCCCAGTGCTCAGCGCTGTTTCACAACCACCTAAGAACTCCCATCCCACCCAAGCAGCCACATCCGTCTCTAAGTGGTGATGCCCGTCGATGCTGTCCCTCACACAGGGATTCAAATCTCTGCACTTCATTTACAAAGTTTATCACTGTGGGCTCTTCCAAGACATTGATCTGTCAGGATCTGGGGGGGCTTTTTCTTCACAAGAGCTGCTAACACACGACACTGGGCAACGCACAGCGACCCCAGGGTCTCTGGTTTGGAGGCAGCCAGACGATGCCCTTGCTGCCTGTCTGCAATGGGACGAAGCATCAGCGCTACACACAAACCTGGGGAGGGGAGCAGCCTCCTTACTCACCAGCTCAGCGTCCTGAACCAGGGCAGGTCATACGAGTGGTACACGTTATAGCCAATGGTGATAATCTCGTGGAAACATTTGATCTGGACACACATCACCTGCACAGAAAGACACCCAGAAGCTGTAATATACGTTGGTTAAACATCTCTTTCCTCAAGGAGATAAAAACCATAAACGTGCAGAGCAAAAGATACTTTGGCAGTCGCTGTCAGTCTGGCAGGAGTCTCCTAATCCAACAAGGGAAGCTCACCATGTTGTTTTTCCCTCCCCTTTCCTCTGCAGGAGGAAATTATTACTTTATTTGTTTGTATTAAGTTTCAATTGCAGCCAAATGCTGACTGCCAGGGCAGGCGGTCACAGATTCCTTCCAGGTTTCATCCATGGTGTGAGGAATCCAGCAAGCTGAATAAGGAGCTCCAAAATATGAGGCTCTGAGCTTCCCACCCCAGCAATGGTCCCAGCAACCTTCCCCCCTGCCGCTGCATCTCTCGGGAGCACTTACTATCGTCATTAAGACCATGGGTCCCAAGTAGATGATGATGAAGAAGAAGGTAATCATTGCCAGCGTGAGGATGCCTCTTACCCACCAGTTCTTCCATCTAGGCCACAGAGAAGGAAAGATGTTAGAGAAAATCAAAACAAAGCAAGGAAGCAGGACTGCACTTCTGCTCCCTGCACATCACAGGAAGGACACTGAGCTCTGGAAACCCCAAATTTCCTTTCAGTGCTGCAGAGAGACCTTGGTCCACTGGAGAAGGCCTGGACTTCAGCTCAGTCTTCCCTGCTATGACCAGCACTAAATGCAGAAAGCATTGGCCAGGAGCAGAGCACCTCCAGGTGCACTGAAATGGGCAGGAGAGCATCTGTTCCTATCCTGGGACAGGTTTCCCACACCTCAGACAAGATGCATGATAAGTTCAAGTAAAACAAGTAGATGCTGTGCTTAGGGACATGGTCTGGTGGTGCACTTAGGGCTTGTTCGATGGTTGGACTCGATGGTCTTAAAGGTGTTTTCCAACCAAAACCATTCTATGACTCTAAAATGGGGACCATTACCCCTCTCTGCACTCCTTTTTAAGAGGACACACAGGCTCTGGGGTGTTGTACCCTCGCTACTCCCCAACAGGTCCTGCCTTGAGCCTCTCCCATCCTCACAGCACACCCAGGAGAGACTCGTCCTCCCCTGACACAAATAAGCAGCTTTCCCCCTAAAGCAGTCTGTAAAGAACGTTCCCAGTTCGTTCTTAAATCTCACCCATATCAGCAGCTTTTCTCATGCATCCCTGCAGAAGTAGGTCACAGAAGTGGTTAAAAACCACCGCAACTGAAGTCTGTGCTGAGAGCGCTGTCAAAGCGAAACACAACCATCCTCTGCCCTACCGAGGCCTCTTTTCACCTGCCCAGACCCAGCAAGCAGCGAGGAGGCCGTCCTGCAGCGCTCCCCTGCCACCGGTCCCCTCCCACGCTCAGCAGCTCTGGGCGCTGCTCTCTGCTCTCCCCCTACCATCACCGTCACCTTCTGCTTCCTGTGGCCTGGGGGGCACCTTCCTGCTCCCACGCTGCAGAGGGGGAGCTCAGCACTCCCCAAAGCTGCTTGTTCAGCTGCCAGCAGCCCCTGTCAGGGCTGGGAAAGCTGCAGTGAGGATGCAGGGCCCTGGCAGCAGAGGAAAGCGATGCTCAGTGGGCGCTACCTTGAGGAGAGGTTGGAGAGAGCTCTGTTCAGGACCTCTGGAGTGTCATCCGATGTGGGCACCGGGGGCAAGCCTCCGAATTCGGATTTGCTTTCGCTGTCTGACGCTGTCTCTCCATCCAGCTTGTTCTCAGATTCTGACTCCTGGAAGTTAAAAGAGAGGAGACTCAGATTTGTAAGGGCAGTGTCAGGAGGAAGGAGCCAGGCTCTGCTCTGGGATGTCCATGACAGGACAAGGGCAACGGGTGCAGCTGGAGCACAGGAGGTTGATGTGAACACGAGGACAAACTTTGTCAGTGTGAGGGCACAGAGCATGGCCCAGGCTGCCCAGAGAGGTTGTGGAGTCTCCTTGTGTGGAGACACCCAAAGCCCTGGCCGTGTTCCTGTGGGACTGCTCTGGTGATCCTGCTCTGGGGGTTGCACTGGGGGAGCTTTCCAGGTCCCTTCCAACTCCTCATACTCTGTGATCCTGTGGACATCTACCCCCACTCTGCTTCAGCATGAGAGAAAATATTCTGGGTGTTACATGGGGTGAAACAGCACCAGGTGTTTCAGGTGGGTTTTATACCCCTTATCAGTCCCAGCAGCAGCTACTGAAGAGGATCTGCTCCCTCTGAACAGTGACAGACACCTCGCGGTTGATTAATGAGCACCTCCGAGCGCAGCAAGCGCCTAAGGGACGCAGGCTTGTTAGCAGGAATTTTTACAAGGTCTCCCGATCCCCCGGCAGATCTCCAAGTATGCAACATCGCCCAAATTAGACAGAAAGAAAGGCCTCAGAGCAGACAGGCTCAAGGCTTCCAGACGGACTTCTCCAGTGCTGACTTGACATGCGGGCACTAAAAATAACACCGAGCCCATGCTCAGATAGCCAAAGAGGAAGAGCAGGGCTTATCGCTCGGGCCCAACCATCCTCTCTGGCCACAGAAGAAACTTGATGGACTGGAAAGACAGACACGTGCTCTCCCCACCCCAAACCGCTCCGGCACTTAGCTCAGAGCAAAGTCCTGTGTCTGGGGGGTAAATAAATACAGACAGGAGGTTACTGAAGGCCAGTGGTGGAAAAAGGATTACGAGCGACCTCTGGGCTCCCCGGCCACAGTTTTTCCTCCAGTCCAGCTCCTGAACAGAGAATGAACCCAAACTTCTGCCTTTTGCCCCTCATTTCAGCGGCAAAGCTTCATCATCCTCAGTCCTTGGAGCGAGGAAGGAAAATGGTGCTCCCCGGGGAGCACTCGTGCATCGGGTGAGGCACAGCCCGTGCCTCTGGCCTCAGAGCACGGCTATTTTAAAAACTTCCGGAAAAGAGAGCGTGTTTGCAGGAAAAGCAAGGAGGGAGCCAAGCTGGCAAACGCTGGGAGCTCTGCAAGCAAAGCCACTTCATCCCTTTGCCGGGTCCTGCACTTGGGAAACAACAACCCGGTGCAGCGCTACAGGCTTGGAGAGGAGTGGCTGGAAAGCTGCCTGGAGGAGAAGGACCTGGGGGTGTTGGTTGACAGTCGGCTTCACATGAGCCAGCACTGTGCCCACGTGGCCAGAAAAGCCAACGGCATCTTGGCCTGTATTCAAAACAGTGTGACCAGGAGGGCCAGGGAGGTGATCATCCCCCTGGACTCGGCACTGGTGAGGCCGCACCTCGAGTGCTGTGTTCAGTTCTGGGCCCCTCACTATCAGAAGGATGTTGAGATTCTGGAGCGTGTTCAGAGAAGAGCCACAAGGATGGGGAGGGCTCTGGAGAACAAGCCTGATGAGGAGCGGCTGAGGGAACTGGGCTTGTTTAGCCTGGAGAAGAGAAGGCTGAGGGGAGACCTCATCACCACCTCCAACTGCCTCAAGGGAGCTTGTGGAGAGGTGGGTGCTGGTCTCTTCTCCCAGGTGATGGGGGATAGAACAAGGGGAAACGGCACCAAGCTGTGCCAAGGGAGGTTCAGGTCAGAGATAAGGAGGAAGTTCTTTCCTGAGAGGGTCGTCAGAAGCTGGACCAGGCTGCCCAGGGAGCTGATGGAGTCCCCATCCCTGGATGTGTTTAAGAAGTGGGTAGATGAGGTACTTAAGG